ACACAGTACACACAGTACACACACAGTGCGCACACACACACATTACACACAGCATAACACAGTATAAACACACAGTACAAACAGCACACACACAGTACACACACAGTGCGCACACACACAGTACACACAGCATAACACAGTACAAACACACAGTACACACAGCACACAAACAGTACACACACAGTACGCACACACACACATTACACAGCATAACACAGTATAAACACAGTACAAACAGCACACACACATTACACACACAGTGCGCACACACACACATTACACACAGCATAACACAGTACACACACAAAGTGCACATACACAGTACACACAGTGCGCACACACACACATTACACACAGCATAACACAGTACACACAGTGCACCAAGGCCGTAGCCATGGAGTCAACATTGGTGGGGACCAAATATTCTAGGGGGTCTGGGGGTCTGGGGGTCTCCCCCCCCCCCCAGAAAAAAATATAATTTTGATAACTCATTACCTGCCTAAAATATTTAAAAAAAATCACTAACATATGGGATGGACTTTTCATTTATTTTTTACAATAATGTCTAATAGTGTATTGTATTACATTGCTCTGTTTTTAATTTTTTTTACCTTTTCTTGTTTCATTGTATGTAATGGCAGAGATTAGGGATTAATAAAGTACAACCATAACCACAATCATATAAACAAAAATCTATGCATCGAGTTATATGAAGACAATTCCAGATATTGTGGCCAAGGTTTAGCAAATTGTTTTTATTTACATAGCATAGCAATGATTATTTTTAAATAGTTTTGATAGCTATATATTGGGGGGACATTTTGAGCATATATGAATATTATAATTACGGCCTTGCAGTGCACACATAAGCACAGTACACACACAGTACACACAGTACATAGATAATACACACACAATACACACACAGTACACACACACACAGTACACACACAGTACACACAGTACATAGATAGTACACACACAATACACACACAGTACACACACACACAGTACACACACAGTACACACACAGTACATAGATATTGCACACACAATACACACACAGTACACACACACACAGTACACACACAGTACACACAGTACATAGATAGTACACACACAATACACACACAGTGCACACACAAGCACAGTACACACACAGTACACACACTGTACATAGATAGTGCACCCACAATACACACACAGTACACACACACACAGTACACACAGTACATAGATAGTACACACACAATACACACACAGTACACACAAGCACAGTACACACACAGTACACACAGTACACACATAATATACACACAGTACACACACACACAGTACACACACAGTACACACAGTACATAGATAGTACACACACAATACACACACAGTACACACACACAGTACACACACACAGTGCACAATGTTGTATCTCTGTATGTATCGCGATGTTTATGTAGAGGTGTGTGTGTGTGTATGAATCACTGAGTATGGTATATGTGTGTATGCATGCATGTCTGTGTGTACGTATCGATTCCCGCTCACGGCCAACGCCAGTGACGATTATCTTAACCGATTCTAGGCCATCCCCTAGGTTGACTCAGCCTCAAATGAATACCTGGTGCGGTGTGTAAAAACATCGCCACTGGGGAGACAAAGGCGGCCGGGCGTGGGTCAAGTGTTGTGAGCGAGTAGCACCTATGAAGGCCGGCACGGCACACGAGAGGGTGGATGGGTGGCCAGCACCACGCCCGGCCGCCTTTGTCTCCCTAGCGGCGCTGTTTACACACCGCACCAGGTACTCATTTGAGGCTGAGTCGACCTAGGGGAGACCCAGGACCGGTTTAGACAATCGTCACAGGTGTTGGCCACGAGCCGTATTCGATCTCGGGACACCGGATTCGTAGCGCACCGCGCTGACCGCTCCACGAACGCTCCACACATATACAACACACACATATATACAACAACACACACCTGTTGACAGACGTGAAATGTATGCCCGCCTAAAAGGTAAAATAAATAGTCTTGGGGGGGGGGGGGTAAATCAATGACCCCACGTGAGCACTCACGACGCACAGAGAGCCAAGGTTTCACATGTCGGAGACTTTCGCGAGCAATATCATCCATCATTTCGGGTTTTTTTGGGGGTTAGATCGCGTAAATATAAACCCGACACAGCCAATTCGCAAAGATTGTCACGTAAACAGAACATGCCAATTCGTTACTGGTACAGCACTACACCGGTGTGTCGGACAGTACATCCGCAACATTTACAATCCGAGCACGACGTTTCGCCAGTAATTGCAACCGGCATCATTGGCCGGATAGCCAAACTTGTGGACAAATCCTCCAGTTTCGTTCCTTAAATAGGAGGCATAGACGTCGCGAAATCCCACGTGTTAAATGAATCGCTTTAAAAGTCGCCCATCGCGTGACTCAACCGCGTCTCTCCCACCCCTTTGCGCCGCGTGAGAAGTCTTCAAAGACCCCCCGTGTAGAGCCTTCATAGACTGTAGGGGCAAGTGCTGTTAGCGAGCAATCGACGTATGTGCTATGGATCTGCTTTGAAGATGGGGCATTGCCCGAAACGTCGCTTATTACATTCACAACGTCAAGGCCACGTGGTGTTATTGACGAATGCGATGATAGCCCACGTGTGCGTGCGTGTGTATTTGTTTGTTAATTGCACTTGGGCACCAGTGAGGTTAGAAATAGGATGAACTGTCAACTCGAGTGTTAGGTCTGAGTTATTGTGAGCGTGGGATGCTGGACTATGATTAGAGACGGGAGGAGCCGGCGTTCGTGTGATTCATGGCGACGGTTTAATGTCAGGGCTAGCCTTACGTCTGCGGCTAATATTAGAGAGGTAATTAAGGTGACACGGTGTTGCATAGACCCCGTGTACACAAAGACAAAGACCCCCCGTATAGCCTTAACGAATTGTCGGGCAAGTGCTGCTAGCGAGTAGCGCCACCCGCGTTCGTCTCCATAGTGGTGATGTTTTACACATCGCGCCGGTTATTAATTTGAGGCTGAGTCGACCTAGGGGAGGCCCAGGATCGGTTCAGATAATCGTCACCGGTGTTGGCCGTGAGCGGGAATCGAACGCGGGTCGCCAGTGGTTTCGTAAAGGCAGCGCGCGCTAACCACTGGTCTTGTGTACACACACGTACACACGCGTACACACGCGTGTGTATGATTACACTTGCTGCGCTGATATTGGCAAGCCGTGGCGTCGACAGCACTAATTAGCACCAGTCACCGAAGACATTAAAAAAAAACACACACAGCCAACATGAAATCTTGCTCAACTGAGATGCGGAGGCTACAGTCATCCCCTCTTTATAGCCCTCTGCTAGGCGTGGTGGAAATTCCGCGGGTCTCCGTTGGAGCCGCGGGCAAGTTTATCCGTCGGATAAATAGGATGAACCGCTGTGTGACTTCCACACAAATTGGTGCTCGTTGTGTCGACCCCGGAGGGATGATGGATGGGCTGAGTGAGTTAATAGCGGCGCGCTTGGGAAGAAAATTTTATAATTTGAAAGTGAAGAAATTCTATCACGTGGCTGGTGAGGAAAGTTTTCAGTCACTGCATAGGGTAATGTCAGCCACGAACGTATGGATTAAGAAGCGTGGATAACGGGCAAAGATAGCGGAATAAAAAAAAAAGATTTTAAAAAGATGTGCAAAGAAAGAAGGGCAAGTTGCATGCTGGGTGGGTGGCCGACAGACGAGAGGAACACGTGGATCAGGGAACGCTCCAAACCAGAGAGATCATCATCATCATCATCATACCGACTGTTGAAACGTAAAGTGATGCTTGCACCGGATACATCATCACTCGTAGGGCCCGCTAACCGGTGAACGGGGAGACTGATAGCTGAATACAGAGCCGTCCCTAGGGTGCACGGCTAATCGGGGCGACCGCCCTGTGCCCCGCTTTTTGGGGGGCCCCCGCGCTTCGATATCACGGTGTCCGATGTAATACTGCCGGTTTATTTTGAAGGCGTCGGGGGGGGAGAGAGCTCGCCCGAGAGACTGCCTACTGCGGAGACGTAGCCACGATGTCATCAACAGGCTCCCTGATCGCGCGAGCAAGAAACTTGCAGAGGCTCCACCTCCCCCCCCTCCCCCCGTTTAGCGGCCAACAAGAAGAAGCTCGCAGCTGCACTAGCCCCGTGCTCTGCTCGAGGCTTCAATGCCACGTGGTGGATGCCCTCTTTGGGAGGGGGGCGGGCGGGTGAGGAGGGGGGTGGGAGGAGATATTTTGTGTGACCCCATCCCCCCCCCCCCTTATCTATTAACTACATTTTTTATAATTATTATTTTATTTCACCAGGTAAGGCACACTGAGCTATACGGCTCTTTTCCTGAAGCGACCTGGCCACAAGCGAATGCTCGATAATTGACTCATCAAGCGGACATTTATAGCAGCCAAATGCATACTCTTAAACGCGTGACGTTGATTCTAAATGTGGAGGGAAAAAAACCGGAGGAGCCGGATACAAATCCACGCGACCACGGGGAGAGAGAGAGGGAGACACGCAAACTCCAAATATACAGCAGCAGGCGTCAGGGTCGAGATCGAAACCCACGGCCCTCCAGTATACCAGGCGAGGCAGTTAACATCACGCCACCCCGACAAGACCGTTTCCAGTGGGGTGGGGGGGGTGAGGGAGCAAGGGGGGGGAGCAGGGGGGGAGCAGAAGGGGAGCAGGGGAGGAGCAGGGGAGGAGCAGGGGGGGAGCAGGGGGGGGCAGGGAGAGAACAGGGGGGGGCGGGGGGGAGAAGGGGGGGAGGGGGCAGGGGAGAGACAAGGGGGGGGCAGAGGTGGGGCAGGGGGGAGGGGGGGCAGGAGAACAGGGGGGGGCGGGGGGGAGAAGTGGGGAGCAGGGGGGGAGCAGGGGGTGGGAAGGAGGGTGGGTGGGAAGCAGGGTGGGTGGGAAGCAGGGTGGGTGGGCCTCTCTGGCCGTGCCGTGCGCGTGCGACGGGACACTTACGTGTCCACTCTCATCCAGCTCGTTGTTGGTGAGTTTCGCTCGGTCGAAGCTGACCACTCCGCGCGCCCACGTGTCCCCCGAGGCCGGAGAGTCCGGGTGAAGGTAGAGGCGATGAGGGGGTGCCGCGTCGGCGTTGCCAGCCACGATCCACTTGGAGCTGTGGTACACGTACCTGCGTGTGCGCGTGCGTGTGTGCGCGTGCGCGTGTTGATAGAGAGCAGAGATTATCGTCGCGGTTAGCGCTGCGCTGCGCTATGAAGCCGGAGCCCACACGGGTTCGATTCCCGCTCACGGCCAACACTGGTGACGATTATTTTGAACCGATGCTGGTCGACTCAGCCACAAATGAGTACTTAGTGCGGTGTGTCAACATCGCCACTAGGGAGACAAAGGCGGCCCGGCGTGGTGCTGGTCACCCACCCCATCGTGTGCCGTGTCGGCCTTCATAGGTGCTACTCGCTAACAGCACTTGCCCCTACAGTCTGTTCAGGCTACACGGGGGGGGGGGGGGTGGGGTGTTTGTCTTTGTTACGTCTCCTATAGCTCTATATGCAGTCCAGTACCGTAATAATCTAAATTTACATTTGTAGAGTGGTGCATTTAATCCGCAGATCCCATCAATGTGTGCATTGTAAAACGTCCAGCTGCATTGGCGAGCATTGTGTAATGATGCATCCCATCACACGCGTCGTCATTAGCGCTGCTTTACATTCAGGCCGACGTTTCGGACAATGATCCTTCGTCGGAGCAGAGCAACGGTAAAAGAGATGGACTTGTCGTTGGAGTTAAAGATTTTCTCGGTAACGTTAGATTACATTTTCCTTGGGTCTTTCGGTAAAGTCACCTAGATAGGTTCAAATTAATAAAAATATATAAATATAAAATAAACAAATAAATATTTATTATTATTTTTTTATTTGAACCTATCTACGTGACTTTACCGAAAGACCCAAAGAAGATGAATTCCTGCAGTCACGAAAGCTTCAAGTCAAGTTTGGTTACATTGTCAACTGCGTTTTTCTTAAATGAAGCGGCTTGAGCGATGTACACGTGGACCGTAATACATATGCGTGCGTTGATATGCACATGTGTGTGTATGAACGTGTGTATGTGTGCGTCAGATTATATATGTGTGCGTGCGTTAATGTGTGTATTAACGTTAGTGTGTGTGCATGTGTGCACTGGGAAGCGGTGGTGTAGTGGTTAGCGCTCACGCTCAACATCAGTGGCGATTATCTGAACCGATCCTGGGCCTCCCCTAGGTCGACTCAGCCGCTAATAATTACCTGGTGCGGTGTGTAAACATCGCCACCGGGGAGACAAAGGCGGCCGGGCGTGGTGCTGGCCACTCACCCCCTCGTTTTTCCGTGTCGGTCTTACTAGGTGCTCGCTAACAGCACTTGCCCCAACAGTCTGCTAAGGCTATACGGGGGATCTTTGTTGTTGTTGCACTGGGGAGACAAAGGCGGTCGAGCGTGGTACTGGCCACCCATCCCGTCGTGTGCTGTGTTAGCCTTCATAGGGGCTCCTCGCTAACAGCCCTTGCCCCAACAGTCTGCTAAGGCTATACGGGGGATCTATGTCTTTGTTCATGTATACTGTACGCGCGCGTGTACGTGTCTGTGCGTGTTTTTTTAACAATCGCGATTATATTATTTTTACAATATAATCTTCAAATAAAGTCTGTCGACACTGCTTAGATGTGCTGATATATTTTTTTCCGAATAATTAAAATAAATGATCCGTAACCGAATTAGCTATACCAATACGAGAGGAGAGAATGTGATCATGCTGAGCCATATCGCGTGTACTATATATAAACACAATCCACATTGCCGCCTGACACATTGATCAATAACACCTCGGCTTTAATAAAAAAAAGCGTTAATTAAACACACATATATTAAGCGACGTTTCGGACAATGTCCCTTCTTCACAGCACGTGCGTCTTGCTATAAAGAATGTCCGGCCCGAAACTTCGTGTGTCCTTTATATTCCCCCCCCCCCCCCCTTCTTAGAATCCAAGTATTAGTGACGAATATGCTGAGTTTCATGTTATAGCAGAATTAAATTCTGTATCTGCATATACCGCATATACATATATACTCATACGCAAAACGTAATGATAAAACATGTGTTTAAGTCCATCGGATTTTCAGACCAAATGTGATCCAGCGGCAGGAGGTTTGATCAACCACGACAAACCTCCGCTCCGGCTTCGACAACTTGGGGTCTCATCAGCAAAGTGAGGCGTGTTGAACAACGTTGCTGCTGCTGCTGCGTGACCTAGCAGAATGTTATTAGCGAGTGCACTTCCATAATAGCGGTGTTTTGTGTTAGATCGCAATCTTCTATTATGGATGATATTGGTCGCGAAAGCCTACGTGTTAAACAGAAAGCACTCCCGTCTCAATTACGGGACCCGTAGATTTCGATTTAAAGCTTCTTTCGTGACTGCAGGGATTAATCTTCTTGGTTCTTTCGGTAAAGTCACGTAGAAGGGAAATAAAAAAATAATAAAAATTAAACATAATAAAATAATTCTCACAACGTTTCGGCCACAACGTGAAGAACAGGTCTGTCGGAAAGACAGCGTCTGAATGAAAGACAGCGTCATTTTAGACGCTATCTCCCCGACAGACCTGTTCTTCACCTGAGGACGGCTGCTTGCGTTGTGGCCGAAACGTCGTGAAAATTTTATTTTATAATGTTTTATTTTTATAATTTTATTATTTCCCTTCTACGTGACTTTACCGAAAGAACCAAGAAAATTACGGGACCCTGTTCAACGTGCGTAACATGCTAAATATTGTCTCGAGAAAATAAACTTTGTGTATATTTAATATATGTGGAGATATACGAACTGTCATTCTGTTATGTCAACTGTGTGTGTGTGTAGGGGGAGCGGTGGCGTAGTGCGTAGCGCGCTGCGCTACAACCCGGCGACGTGGCGAGTTCGAGTCAGGCTCACGGCCAACACCGGTGACGATTATCTGAAGCGGGTCCCGGGCGTCCCCTAGGTCTACTCAGCCTAAAATGAGCACTTGGGTTCGGCGTGTACACATCACCACTGGGGAAACGAAGGCGGTCGGGCGTAGTTCCGACCGTTCCGACCTTCATAGGTGCTACTCGCCAACCGCACTTGCCCCTACAGTCTTTTCAGACTACACGGGGGGGGGGGGTGGATCTTTGTCTTTGTATTGTGTAAATCACGCCTCTATGTAGATATCTCTAGAACTTTATATAAACCATACAAACATTGTCGCGGTGGCGAGATGTTAACTCCCTCGCCCGGTATGCAGGAGTACGTGGGTTCGTTCCCGATCCTGACGCATGCTGCTGTATATTTGGCGTTTTCGTGTCTCTCTCTCTCTCTACCCGTGGTCGCGTGGATTCTCGATCCGGCTCATCCGGTTTTGTTTTTCCCCTCCACATTTAGAAGCAACAAAGTTCGTTTGGAATATTCGGCTGCTATGAACGTCACCGTGATTATAATGATGATGATACGCCGTTTCTCGTTGAGCTATCATTTCTGATGGTCGGGTCGCTTCTAAAATAAAGAGCTACATAGCTCAGCAGGGACTTGCCTGGTCAACACATTTTTTTCTTCATTATTTACGTAGCATCGCGGCCTGCGGTTCCGAGTCGCCAAGTCTCTGCGCGGTTGCATTTCCTCTCCGAATGCCGATGTCGAATTATCAGCGTCTCGTTGCGTGCCCATCGCTGTAGCGGCAATGCGCTCGCTGTACTGTGAAGTGCTGCGAACATAAGTTCGAGTCTAGACCACGGAAGGGTTCTATTCGAACCGGTCCCGACTCTGCCCACCGCCCCCCCCCCCAACTGCCCCCCCCCCCACCCAGCGCCCCCCACCATAGCCCCTCCCCCCACCACTGCGTTACCGACTCACACTGACCGAACGCGGGGTGAAGTATGGTCGACACGGCGTCGGGAGGCATTCGTCCAGCAGTGGATAGACCACGACCTCTAACTGTTCAAGAACAACCTTCCACGACCCGGGGGCCTCTCTAAGGCTCGCCCTTGCCCCGGCAGTGGCTGTGGTCAAGAATTGCAGGGCTGCGCCTTCAGCTCTTCGTAATTTTTAGTTCGTTTAAAAAATAAAATAAACCAACCTAGACTATCGTACGGCTATGGGACTCGCCCGAATGCCTTCCGGCAACGTCAATTCAATGGGCCACATCGCTGCTGATGAGACTGAACAAGTCAAAACCCGATGCAGGGTGTTTCACTGTTAATAATGGTGCTCTATTGATCATATTTATTGGCGAAACTTGTCCCGAGAAATAGATACGCTCATCTGAGCACTGACGACGACCAGACACGTGGTACAGACAGACGGGCAGTCATTCAGACTGACACACGGATCGACAGACACACCGTTCAGACGGACACACAGACACACTGACAGACAGACACACGGACGCACGGATGGACAGACACACCGTACAGACGGACACACAGACAGACACACGGACGCACGGATGGACAGACACACCGTACAGACGGACACACTGACAGACAGACACACGGACGCACGGATCGACAGACACACCGTACAGACGGACACACTGACACACTGACAGACAGACACACGGACGCACGGATGGAGAGATACGCGAAATTCACATTTGCTCGTGCACAGCAAACAAAATGGGGCCATCTATGGTCGCCTTAATACCCCCCCCCCCCTCGTGAACTTGCGCTATAAGTAGCGACTGGGTAATTAACTTGGGCCGCTAATTGATGAGGATAATTAGGGGAGGGGGGGTCACGCTGACTGCGCGGGCTGGGCAGACGCAAAGAAAGCGGGGGGCTGACTGTGGTGGAGCACACAAAGGTGGCTAGCCCCCCACCAAGTTTGATGTCAAGAGAGACCTCGGGAGAGACAATGCTGTCCATTTATTCTTGATTTGAAGCTTTCGTGACTGCAAGGATTCATACTCTTAGGTTTTTTTCGGTAAAGTCACGTCGGTAAAAATAAATAATAATACAAATAATAGACAAAATAATAGAAATAAAATAATTTATTAAATAAAATAATCATGCAATTTTTTTTCTATTATGTCTAAAATAAATAATACAAATAATAGACATAATAATAGAAATTAAATAAGTTATTATTTTATTTCTATTATTGTCTATTATCTATAATAAAAAATATTTTATTATTTAGGAGCACGTGGATAGAAATAAAGTAATTTATAAAATAATTTATTCTTTTATTTCTATTATTATGCCTATTTTTTTTTTTACGTCACTTTACCGACAAAACCTAAGAGTACAATGCTGTCCGTCTGCTGGGGGACTGGATGTCGATCACTGTCCGCGCGGCAGAACACCGCCCCGGATTTAGCGCCCGGATCTCATCGGACCTTGCGCAGCGGAGCTGGGGTGGAGCCCGGATAGTAGCACGTGGATAGGAGACTGCCTGGGAATTCCACGGGTGCAGGGCGCTTAGTGCAGGGTGCTGGGTGGATAATGGTGAGTGCAGGGCGCTGGGTGGATAATGCTGGGTGCAGGGCGCTGGGTGCAGGGTGCTGGGTGGATAATGGTGAGTGCAGGGCGCTGGGTGCAGGGTGCTGGGTGGATAATGGTGGGTGCAGGGCGCTTAGTGCAGGGTGCAGAGTGCAGGGCGCTGGGTGGATAATGGTGAGTGCAGGGCGCTTTGTGCAGGGCGCTGGGTGAATAATGGCGCTTAGTGCAGGGTGCTGGGTGGATAATGGTGAGTGCAGGGCGCTGGGTGGATAATGCTGGGTGCAAGGCGCTTAGTGCAGGGCGCTGGGTGGATAATGCTGGGTGCAAGGCGCTTAGTGCAGGGAGCTGGGTGCAGGGCGCTGGGTGGATAATGCTGGGTGCATTGTGCAGGGTGCAGGACGCTGCGTTACCTGTATCTCTTGTTGTCGAGGGGAACGATGTCCATGGCGAGGTGGTAGTGCTGGTGAGGCATCAGCCCCGACACCTTCACGCGAATCGCGGGGAACATGCGCCTGTGTGTGCGTGTGTGTGTGCGCATTGGAGTGTGTGTACATGATATGGATGTGAATGTATAGGCATGGGTGTGTGAGTGTGTATGTGTATGTATGCATATGTGTGTGTAGATTGGTGTGTGTGTGCATGTGTGTGTGTGTGTATATGGGTGTGTGCATGTGTGTAGATGGGTGCGAGCGTGTGTGCGTGTGTGTGAGCATGTGTGCGTGTGTATGTGTGTGCATGTGTGTCGATGGGTGTGTGTGTGTGTGCATGTGTGTGAGCGTGTGTGTACATGTGTGTGTGTGCATGTGTGTGAGCGTGTGTGCGTGTGTATGTGTGTGTGCATGTGTGTCCATGGGAGTGTGTGTGTGCATGTGTGTGAGCGTGTGCGTACATGTGTGTGAGCGTGTGTGTACATGTGTGTGTGTGCATGTGTGTGAGCGAACATGTTGCACAAAATGAACACCCATTGCACAAACTCAACATTCATTTCAGAGATGTGGAAATCATTTCCACGCGAGCTCTCCCGGAATCAACATCGGCTCCGAGATTGCCATTTCACTCCGTTTATTCTTCTTAACAAACTAAACTATGAGAAATTCAGACTCATCATCAACAATCCACTGCTGTATTAAAAACCACTCCGTCATTATTCTTAGCCATCGACCAATCACTGTCATCATCGTCGTCATCATCCCTCCTCGCCACGCGTCCTGCCCAAGGCTTGCACGTGCAACGGCCGGCAGCAAGCAGCACCGTTGTAAGAGTCGAAAGAGAAAACACGTTTCCTGAATTGAGCGAGGTTATCGGTGTCAGAACTTGGGGGGGGGAGGGGTGGAAGAGACGACGTTGATATGATATCAATTCCCAACGTGGAACGGTGAATGGAAAAACAGAGAAAAACGCTGGGAACTACAGCGTGGTGATAGAATCGGTGAGTGGGTGAGTGAGGGCGTGTGTGGGTGAGCGACTGGGTGTGTGAATAAGTGATTGAGTGAACGCGCGATTGAGTTAGCGAGCGAGTGAATGGCTGCGTGAGTGAGTTGACGGAGTGAGTGCGTGAAAAAGTGAGTGGGTGGGTGAGTGAATGTGTTGTTGTGACCTGCAGTGTGGTGGTGGTGGTGGTTGAACACAGTGTGGTGGTGGTGGATGAGATGAATCAGTCAGTAACTGATAGAAGGCAGGGCCGTCCATAGGGGGGGGGGGAGGGCAGGGTTGCGGACCCCACGCCTTTAAACTAAACCCCAACTTTTACATCTGACACCGTGGCGTCAAAGCGCGGGTCCCCCAAAGTGCGGGGCCCGGGGCGCTCTCCCCAATTCGATGGAACCCTCGGGACGGGCTCTCGGTGGAGGGACCAACGAGTGAAGTGCATGGGCCCAGGTAACCATGCTCGTAGAAGTGGTGGCGGCGATACACTCATGCCACGGACCTTCGTACGTTCTCGAATCCACGTGTTCATCTTCGTCTCTCAATGTACATTCGTAAAACATGAGACACGTCATCAGAGAAGTAAAGCCGGTTCGATTCCATCTCCTGGCACGGAAGTTGAATCAATGGGCGCATTCCTGAAACGATTACATTCATGACTAAGCTTCTACTAGAGACGGCTCCGGTCTCTTGAACCCGGTTATCGATTCTGAAACACGCTAACCGGTTTGACTGGCTAACGTTCAGATAATCACGAGGACCGGTTCATATAATCATCATTGGCGTTGGCCGTGAACGGGAATCGAACTCGTGTGGCCGGAGTTCGTAGCCCCACGCGCTAAACGATCCCTACCGCTGTGCACACGCATACAATGACAAAGATCCCCAGTATAGCCTGAACAAACTGTTGGGGCAAGTGCTGTTAGTGAGCACCTATGAAGGCCGGCACGGCGCACGAGGGGGTGGGATGACCAACATTATGCCCGGCCGCCTTTGTCTCCGTAGCGGCGATATTTACACAGCACACCGGCTTCTCATTTGAGGCTGAGTCGACCTAGGCGAGGCTCGGGAGCGGTTCAATACAATCATCAATGCTGCAAGCGGGAATAAAACTCGTGTGGCCGAGTTCTTATCGCAGCGCGCTAACCGCTACACCACCGCTCCCCCCAAACACACGCGCGTGTGCTCCAGCACTGTCGACCTACTAAAGCCACTGTTCAGCTACCCCAACTCTCTCCCACCACACACCCCACCCCGACTCTCTCCCACCACACACACCACCCCGACTCTCTCCCACCACACACACCACCCCCACTCTCTCCCACCACACACACCACCCCGACTCTCTCCCACCACACACACCACCCCCGCTCTCTCCCCAACACACACCCCGACTCTCTACAACACACCACCCCGACTCTCTCCCACCACACACACCACCCCGACTCTCTCCCACCACACACACCACCCCGACTCTCTCCCACCACACACACCACCCCGACTCTCTCCCACCACACACACCACCCGACTCTCTCCACCACACACACCACCCCGACTCTCTCCCACCACACACACCACCCCGACTCTCTCCCACCACACACACCACCCCGACTCTCTCCCACCACACACACCACCCCGACTCTCTCCCACCACACACACCACCCCGACTCTCTCCCACCACACACACCACCCGACTCTCTCCCACCACACACACCACCCCGACTCTCTCCCACCACACACACCACCCCCACTCTCTCCCACCCCACACCACGCTGACTCTCTCCCACCACACACACCACCCCCACTCTCTCCCACCACACACCACCCCGACTCCACCACACACACCACCCCGACTCTCTCCCACCACACACACCACCCCGACTCTCTCCCACCACACACACCACCCTGACTCTCTCCCACCACACACACCACCCCGACTCTCTCCCACCACACACACCACCCCGACTCTCTCCCACCACACACACCACCCCCACTCTCTCCCACCACACACACCACCCCGACTCTCTCCCACCACACACACCACCCTGACTCTCTCCCACCACACACACCAGCACAACTCTCTCCCACCACACACACCACCCCGACTCTCTCCCACCACACACACCACCCTGACTCTCTCCCACCACACACACCACCCCGACTCTCTCCCACCACACACACCACCCCGACTCTCTCCCACCACACACACCACCCCCACTCTCTCCCACCACACACACCACCCCCACTCTCTCCCACCACACACACCACCCCCACTCTCTCCCACCACACACACCACCCTCACTCTCTCCCACCACACACACCACCCCCACACTCTGCCACCACACACACCACCCCGACTCTTTCCCACCACACACACCACCCCCACTCTCTCCCACCACACACACCACCCCCACTCTCTCCCACCACACATACCACCCCACTCTCTCCCACCACACACACCACCCCCACTCTCTCCCACCACACACACCACCCCTGACTCTCTCCCACCACACACACCACCCTGACTCTCTCCCACCACACACACCACCCTGCCATTCTCTCCCACCACACACACCACCCCCACTCTCTCCCACCACACACACCACCCCCACTCTCTCCCACCACACACACCACCCCCCGACTCTCTCCCACCACACACACCACCCCGACTCTCTCCCACCACACACACCACCCGACTCTCTCCCACCACACACACCACCCGACTCTCTCCCACCACACACACCACCCCTGACTCTCTCCCACACACACACCACCCACCCCACCACACACACCCCCACTCTCTCCCACCACACACACCACCCCCCACTCTCTCCCACCACACACACCACCCCGACTCTCTCCCACCACACACACCACCCCGACTCTCTCCCACCACACACACCACCCGACTCTCTCCCACCACACACACCACCCCGACTCTCTCCCACCACACACACCACCCCCACTCCCTCCCACCACACACACCACCCCCACTCTCTCCCACCACACACACCCACCCCGACTCTCTCCCACCACACACACCACCCCGACTCTCTCCCACCACACACACCACCCCGACTCTCTCCCACCACACACACCACCCCCACTCTCTCCCACCACACACACCACCCTGACTCTCTCCAACCACACACACAACCCCCACTCTCTCCCACCACACACACCACCCCCACTCTCTCCCACCACACACACCACCCCCATTCTCTCCCACCACACACACCACCCCCCACTCTCTCCCACCACACACACCACCCCGACTCTCTCCCACCACACACACCACCCCGACTCTCTCCCACCACACACACCACCCCGACTCTCTCCCACCACACACACCACCCTGACTCTCTCCCACCACACAAACCACCCTGACTCTCTACCACCACACACACCACCCTGACTCTCTCCCACCACACACACCACCCCGACTCTCTCCCACCACACACACCACCTTGACTCTCTCCCACCACACACACCACCCCGACTCTCTCCCACCACATACACCACCCCGACTCTCTCCCACCACACACACCACCCCGACTCTCTCCCACCACACACACCACCCCACTCTCTCCCACCACACACAGTATTCACGAATTCGCCACTTCAATTGAGCCTCCTGTGACTGATATCCCCTTCTCCCCCCCCCCCCAATGCAATTCCACAGGTCCAGCGCCAACGTAAGCCCCCCCCCCCCCCCCCCACGTGACACGTCGAGCGAGTCACAGAGTAACGGCAATTACGGGGGGACCATAATGAGATTTTGGCCGAAAGTGTTTTTTGGGGGCTGTAGTGGGTTTATTTTTTTGGAGGAGGGAGGAGGGAAGGGGGGGGGGTTAATATAATACTCATAAATAGAAACGTGAACGCGTAAATTGTCTCTGTGGCCACGCAACATCAACATCATCACAACAACAACAGCAGCGGCAGCAGCGGCGTCTATTGACACACGTGGGGGCCAATTCGCGCAGGCAACATTCCCCGTAACGCCGCGCAAACAGGGACATTGTGTGAAGGCCGCCGCTGTGTAATTAGACGCTGTATAATATTATATATATCATAAAAAACATATATTTTTTTAAATATATTTTTATATATTTTTTTTTTATTGGAGCGTGGAAACTAGACGTATTGAACTATGCCCGCGGTGGCATTCAGGTCGAGTTTTCATTTTTCATTTATTTCAGTTTTAGTTATTTGGTATAGCCTTGTGAGTCATGCGGCTCTTGAATCGGGTGCAACCGCAACAAACAAAAAAACATGAACAAGAAAGTTGTGTCGGTCGCGGGTTCGCAGCACACCGCAAATCGCGACGCAACTGGGGTTGCGATTCGATCTCATTGCGCGGAAGTTGCAACAATTGTGCGAGTTGCAACAGGTCGCTCGCCCGAAATTAATTGGGAGCAGATGATGTTACGTAGGTGAGGCTCGCACCGATTGTTCGCCGTGAATTGAGCCATCAGAGGAAATGATGTCGAGTGAATTGGAGCGGGGAGGGGGGAAATCAGCCGACAGAAAGAGAGAGAAAGATATAGAAATAATTCATAATTGATTTCTGAGTTTTAGTCACTCAAGAGAACGATCGTCGTTTAGAGCATTTGGCTGCGATACATTCCCACGTGATGATAATCATCCACTTCGTTGAGCTATTATTTGTGGTCAGGTGGCTTCTGAAAAAGAGCTGTGTAACTCATCAGTGGGCCTTACCTGGTCAAGTAATAATCAGAGAAAGTTCGTTAAATTAAAAAAATAACATGACGCTATTGGTACCGCAATATTAAGCATTCGAGCGTTTAAACCATTGCGAATCATCTCGGATACGACTAAGCGACAAAATATTGTCACGACTATAATTATTATAGATAATTTATCATCGTTATCACTTAGGGGGTGCGTCGTATAATCCAGTAGCTGAGTGTGTGTGTGATCAGATTATCGTCAATTTAATAATTACGCACTTTTGGCGCGCGTATTACTTTCCAGAGCGTCTAATTATTGACACATTATTGTTTATACATCGTGCCATAATTATAAAATTTCGTATTATTTTTTTGTATTCATTATGTTTCTGCATACGCCTGTAAGGTGTGAATATCGCAGTGCGTGTGATTAACATTACAAAGACAAAGATCCCCCGTATAGCCTTCAGCAGATTGTTGGGGCAAGTGCTGTTAGCAAGCATCTGTGAAGGCCGGCACAGCGCACGAGGGAGAGGGGGGGGTGTTAACAGCGTGCCCTGCCCCCTTTGTCTCCCCAGTGCTCACGTTTACACACCGCACCAGAGGTCCAGTACCGGTCGAAATATTCGCCGGGTATCGTAACACACAGTGTGCTAACCACGGCGCCACCGCTCCCCGTGACTATTCGATATTAACACACACGCACGCGCACACACACACAGAGACGTATTATACACGCGTAGATATGCGATTAATAATTGTAATCATTTACAACCCTTTGTCAATCCACTGCTGGATGAAGGACTCCTTAAGCCACGTCGGTAACGACGGAGGTTTATGTGACACACACATCGGTCGAGATATCAGCCGTGGCCGCGTGCATGGCGCAGTAGCGCGCTAAGCGCTGCGCCACCGCTCCTCCCACTCCCAAAAGTTACTTTTCCATTACGCGCGGTGTTCAACATTACTTAGCATCGACACGAAACACATCGAACATTCAAAGTCGCGTCGCTGTGGAAAAAATATCAAACTTATTCCGTGATATTTTCCACGACGATGCTGGTGTTAATTTTTTGTGTTCTTAGATCGTTTTTTTGCGTCGAACTCGGAGCCACATCTCACAACGAGGAGCCCTTGGTTACAACCGTCTAGCAGTTCACCGCCATCGACCCAAGCGAGGCTGAATCGGCTGCTGATGAGACTCTGTGTGTCGAAACCGATGCAGGGTTTTTGCTTGCACTGAATCAACGCTGCTGAAATGATGCACTCCCAGAAGGCCGTGTCACCGATTGGATGTGTAATATATGTTTTTTGGAAGGCGGCGTTATCGGTCTGCTTATCTATTTCGTCGATATGAATAACACGCATGCCCGTATACTGAATCACGCATGACCATACACAGTATGCGCGTGTAGGATATGGGCACACGGTAAATCCTCGCTTTACGCGTTTGCGCACAACGCGTTTTCGCTATAACGCGTTTTCGCTATAACGTGGTTATTCTAATAGGGGAGACTTCTCGCACGAAACGCGCCCGCTATATAACGAGTTGTGATCGGTCAGCGACGAACTACTTTCTTGAGCTGCGTGGCTGAGCTGGATTGGGGATTATGTGTACATGCGCGGTATGATAGAGTACACAATGTGTGTTATAATAGGAATAATATTTCAAATATATTAAGCGCCCGGGAAGGCGGAAATAGTTTAACATCAACCGAGGAAGAACGAAGTGAAAAAGACGTTTGAAAAGAGAGAGAGAGAAAAAGCCATTTCATGTATCATGTGCAGTGGATACATGCAACATGTACAGACCTCATTCTACAGCTGGATGAGAGGCACACTATGCACGGAGGTATATATACAGTCACGTACGAATATGTATATATATATACAAACCCCCATCCCTGTACGTACATACGTAAGCACGTGTGTGTCATCAACTTTAAGCTCCGTAAAGGTAGACGCACTCCCGAAAAATCGTGTCCGGTCTCATTACCGTTCGGCAATTCTGGTCACACGCAAAGACAAAGATCCCCGTGTAGCCCTAACGGACTGTTGGGGCAAGTGCTGTTAGCGAGCACCTACGAAGGCCGGCACGGCACACGAGGGGGTGTGTGGTCAACACCACGCCCGGCCGCCTTTGTCTCCCTAGCGGCGATATTTTACGCATCGCACCAGGTACTCAATTGAGGCTGAGGCGACCTAGGGGAGGCCCAGGACCGGTTCAGATAATCGTCACCGATGTTGTCCGTGAACGGGAATCAAACTCGGGACATCAGGTTTGTAGTGCAGGGCGCTAACCGCTACACTACCCCTCCCCGCATGTATATATATACATAGACATATACACAATCATATATATATACACAGACACACATGCACACAGTGAAATTAGGAATTCTAGCTAGTGGTTAGCGCAATTCGCTATAAATCTGGTGAACAAAGAGGTTTGTTGAACAATAACCGATAACCGCGTTTTCATTAATCAATTATCGATTCACAGAGTCATGCACCGGCAACCCATTGCAATCGAACGTCGCGCTGATTGCAACGATAGGCACGCGCGAACGCACAAACGGCACGGCGGCCCAAGTCACCGCGTGGTTACATAATGATCCATTAGCCCTCAGTCAACAGCTAAAGGCACAGGCCCAGCAACTGCCCAGCTCACGTCACTGCTGGCGGAAGAGGCCTCTAGAGGGTGTTTTGGGTCTAACGCTCCCACCCTGGGCCAGACGTCGTGACAGCGTTGAGGACGCACCCCACACTTTGCACCATCGCACGCGACCTGCCCATCGACTCACTGTCAGTGGTACCCAGCTACACCGCTGGGGTGACCCGAGGCGGCTGAGATTTGATGAGAAACTTGACCCACATTGATTCGACTGCCGCGTCCGGAGATCGAATGGAATCGGCGACATCGGCGGGTTGCCAGTCTGGTGCGCTCATGCTGCTGATGATGCTGGTGCTGATGATGCTCATGATGCTGATGCTGATTATGCAAATGCTGCTGCTGATGATACCGATGATGATGATGATGATGCTGATACTGATGATGCTGATGATGCTGCTGATTATGCAAATTATGCTGATGATGATACCGATGATGATGATGATGATGATGCAAATTATGCTGATGATGTTGCTGATGATGATGATGCTAATGATTCTGCTGATTATGATGATGCTGATGATGCTGATACTGATGATGCTGATGATGATACTGATGATGCTTCTGCTGATGATTATGATGCTAAGAATTATGCTGATACTGATGATGCTGATTATACTAATGATGCTGATGATGATAATGCTGCTGGTGATGATGCTAATGATTCTGCTGATTATGATGATGCTGATACTGATGATGCTGATGATGATGCTGCTGATGCTGCTGCTAAGAATGATGCTCACGACGACGACGCACGCACCGTCCGGCCTTGGTGATGATCATCTCGGTGCCGATGGAGTGAAATCTCTGCCACAGCTCGGAGCCCTGCAGCTCTACGCGGACACCCGCCAGATCGGAAGGAGGAGGAGGAGGAGGAGGCGGCGCCCCCTGTGAAGGTCCCAGGCCGGGGACGATGCCGGTGGGAGGAGCGGCGGGGGTCACGGGAGCCCGGGCAGTGTCCACGGAGTCGTCCCGGTCAGCCGGGGCCACGGGAGGGCTCACGGGATCGGACCCCGATGTGGACTGGAGGTCGAGGCTTGTGGCTGCGACAGGGAGGGAGGGAGCGAGGGTCAAGGGGTGGCGCGCGGAGGAGTCTGAGTGCGCGCGTGTGACGGGAGTGTGAGACTTGTCCCGAGGCTATACGGGGGATCTTTGTCTTTTGTGTGTGTGTGTGTGGTGGGGGGGGGGGGACGATACCAGTGACGATTATCTGAACCGGTCCTGAGCCTCCACTAGATCGACTAAGTCTCGAATTAGTACCTGGTGCTGTATTGTAATATATTGATGCTAGGGAGACAAAGGCGGCCGGGCGTGGTGCTGGCCACTCAACCCCCTCGTGTGCCGTAGCGGCCTTCAAAAGGTGTTCGCTCGCGGGACTTGTCCCAAAAAAATATATGTTAAGGCTATACGGGGGATCTTTGTCTTAGAAATGTCTCCTGCACGGTATCCATGCCACAGCCTGCGCCCCATCGTCAGGCTGAGAACCGGCTGGGCTCGCGAGTGCTACAGCAGTGCATGCTGGAGGTAGAGTCGTTTGAGATATTTTATTGGACTGGGGAAACAAGTCATTCATTCTATGCTTGAGTGGGGCAATGCGTTCAGACTAGCATAGCCCATAGACTAAGATCACCCATAGACTTAAATTGCCCATAGGCTAGCATTGCCCATAGACTTAAATTGCCCATAGACTTACATTTCCCATAGACTTACATTGCCCAAAGACTAACATTGCCCAAAGACTTACACTGCCCATAGAATTACATCGCCCATAGACTAAGATCACCCATAGACTTAAATTGCCCATAGACTAACATTGCCCATAGATTAACATTGCCCATAGACTTACACTGCCCATCGACTATTGTAGACTTGCGTACGGCAGCAATGCGCTCAGGATCTCGATGCCAATCTGGAGGTCTGCCGCTGGCCACAACGAGAGGGCTTCAGCAGAGAGAGAGAGTTCGTGTCGTTTCCACGTTCCTCCTCCTCCGTTGAAGGACAACGTGGACTACAGTGGCTTTACTATTCCACCCCCCTTGATACAGCAATCGTGCTGTGACGGTTCCACCTGAAGACGGAAACTTGTGTTGCCTCCGAAACGTCGTGATTTTTATTTTATTTTTATTTTAGTTTTATTTTACTTTTATTAATTTTAATTTTTTACCTACGTGACTTTACCGAAAAAAACCTAAGAATATTCCACTCCCCCCTGGAGCTTTTGGCAAAGACAAAAAACATGAAGACGAGGAGCCGCGTATCACGGGCACGGTGACGACGTCACGGATGTGTTGATGAACCCGAGAAGGGCTTTGGGTTGAGGGGTTACTCAGCCGCGCGTGTCCCCCCGTCCTCACTCGACGGAGCCGTATTTGTGTTCGGAAGCTCCCGCGCGAATTTGTTCGCAGCCACGAGTCAACTTTGATGGATGGCGCTCGCCGCGCGGGAGACGGAACGCTGAGATCGACTTCTTTGCGCCCTTCCCCCCCCCAGTGAGATGGATTGTGGCATCGCGCGGCCGCCAAGGGGTGGCGTCATCCAGCGGTGGATAGACAATGACCGATGGTGATTGATGGCGATGATGACGATGCGAATTTCCAGTCCGTTTCGTCTCATTTGTACCGCCTTCAAAACAACCACCACCACGCTGTGTTCAACCATCACCACCGCTTAGCGTCTGTCCTCTCACTGCTTCAGCCTCACACTCACTGGCGGTCAATCGCCTCCTTATCACTCTCACATCGCTACTGCCATGGTCAACCTTCCCGTGAACTTCACTCGTTGACTCGTTGATTCATCCACCACCAAACTGTGTTCAATCACCACCAAACTGAAGATCACAACAACACACTCACCTACCCACTCACTCAATCATTTGTCCATTTCATCACTCATTAAATCACTCACCAACCCACCCACTCATCCACTAAACCACCACACTGCTCGTCACAACAACACATTCACTCACCTTGCCCCTGACTCAATGACTCCCTCACCTACTCACTCATCCACTCACTTACTCACCAAGCAACTCACCCACATACTCACTTACCAAGCAACTCATCCACACACTCACTTACCAAGCAACTCACCCACACACTCACCCACACACTCACCATACTCTGCCTATTCCTCGCACTGCTTCGCGCTGGAATTCCCTCCTCCCACCGCCGTCTCTTATCCCAAGTCCTGATAATCTCGCTCAAAATTTCAAGAAGAAACGTATGGACTCTTTATCTCTTACGACCCAAGTCGTGCTGTTTGTTACTGACCGCCTTGCGTTATTGTAAATATTTTTGTGTTAGACCATTGGGCCTGTGTTCAGTAACCTCGGTGATAAAACAAAAAAAACATCAATCAAATCTCAAAAGGCTGGCGAGTGGCGGGGTGACGCACAGAGAGCGGAGATGGAAGCGTTGAGAAGTTTGCGTGATCACGTTGAGAAGTTTGCGTGATCACGTTGAGAAGTTTGCGTGATCACGTTGAGAAGTTTGCGTGATCACGTTGATAAGTTTGCGTGATGACGTTGAGATGTTTGCGTGATGACGTTGAGAAGTTTGAGTGATCACGTTGAGAAGTTTGTGTGATCACGTTGAGAAGTTTGCGTGATCACGTTGAGAAGTTTGCGTGATCACGTTGAGAAGTTTGCGTGATCACGTTGATAAGTTTGCGTGATGACGTTGAGATGTTTGCGTGATGACGTTGAGAAGTTTGCGTGATCACGTTGAGAAGTTTGTGTGATCACGTTGAGAAGTTTGCGTGATCACGTTGAGAAGTTTGTGTGATCACGTTGAGAAGTTTGTGTGATCACGTTGAGAAGTTTGCGTGATCACGTTGAGAAGTTTGTGTGATCACGTTGAGAAGTTTGTGTGATCACGTTGAGAAGTTTGTGTGATCACGTTGAGAAGTTTGCGTGATCACGTTGAGATGTTTGCGTGATCACGTTGAGATGTTTGCGTGATCACGTTGAGATGTTTGCGTGATCACGTTGAGATGTTTGCGTGATCACGTTGAGATGTTTGCGTGATGATCACGTTGAGATGTTTGCGTGATGATCACGTTGAGATGTTTGCGTGATCACGTTGAGATGTTTGCGTGATCACGTTGAGATGTTTGCGTGATCACGTTGAGATGTTTGCGTGATCACGTTGAGATGTTTGCGTGATCACGTTGAGATGTTTGCGTGATGATCACGTTGAGATGTTTGCGTGATCACGTTGAGATGTTTGCGTGATCACGTTGAGATGTTTGCGTGATCACGTTGAGATGTTTGCGTGATGATCACGTTGAGATGTTTGCGTGATCACGTTGAGATGTTTGCGTGATCACGTTGAGATGTTTGCGTGATCACGTTGAGATGTTTGCGTGATCACGTTGAGATGTTTGCGTGATCACGTTGAGATGTTTGCGTGATCACGTTGAGATGTTTGCGTGATCACGTTGAGATGTTTGCGTGATGATCACGTTGAGATGTTTGCGTGATCACGTTGAGATGTTTGCGTGATCACGTTGAGATGTTTGCGTGATGATCACGTTGAGATGTTTGCGTGATCACGTTGAGATGTTTGCGTGATCACGTTGAGACGTTTTCGTGATCACGTTGAGAAGTTTGCGTGATGATCACGTTGAGATGTTTGCGTGATCACGTTGAGATGTTTGCGTGATCACGTTGAGATGTTTGCGTGATCACGTTGAGAAGTTTGCGTGATGATCACGTTGAGAAGTTTGCGTGATCACGTTGAGAAGTTTGCGTGATCACGTTGAGAAGTTTGCGCGATGATCACGTTGAGAAGTTTGCGTGATCACGTTGAGAAGTTTGCGTGATCACGTTGAGAAGTTTGCGTGATCACGTTGAGAAGTTTGCGTGATCACGTTGAGATGTTTGCGTGATGACGTTGAGAAGTTTGCGTGATGACGTTGAGAAGTTTGCGTGATGATGACGTTGAGACGTTTGCGTGATCACGTTGAGAAGTTTGTGTGATCACGTTGAGAAGTTTGTGTGATCACGTTGAGAAGTTTGTGTGATCACGTTGAGAAGTTTGTGTGATCACGTTGAGAAGTTTGCGTGATCACGTTGAGAAGTTTGCGTGATCACGTTGAGAAGTTTGCGTGATGATCACGTTGAGACGTTTGTGTGATCACGTTGAGAAGTTTGTGTGATCACGTTGAGAAGTTTGCGTGATCACGTTGAGATGTTTGCGTGATCACGTTGAGAAGTTTGTGTGATCACGTTGAGAAGTTTGCGTGATCACGTTGAGATGTTTGCGTGATCACGTTGAGATGTTTGCGTGATCACGTTGAGACGTTTGCGTGATCACGTTGAGATGTTTGCGTGATCACGTTGAGACGTTTGCTTGATCACGTTGAGAAGTTTGTGTGATCACGTTGAGAAGTTTGCGTGATCACGTTGAGATAATGATATGCACTATTCTTGAAATTGATTGGTCCACACCCGAGACAGCTTTTCTTAGAGCCTAGTCTCACATGGTGTTGGACCTTTATACAAGGAATCATGTAAACATGATGCCTTGTATAAAGGTGTCAGTTTTTGTACCAGTTGAAAGGGTAACAACCTACTACTATAAATCAATGTAATCAACGGTGCGAGTAGCTGCTTCGCTTTTGCACAACAACGCACGTCACCGCTGCGAGCACGTCATCATCCCAGCAGCACGCAGGCGGCAGCGTCGATTCAGAGGCAAGCGGAAACCCCGGACCGGTTTCTCCACCTCGCGTCTCATGGGCAGTGTCGATCCTCCGATCAACCGATGCTGGCTGAACTGCCCATCTCCCTCCCTCTAACCACGTCGGGTCCGAAGCCGAAAGCGACGTTATATAAGCACCCGACTCAAATCATAGACTGCATTAGTGGGGTGTCTATACACGGATCACTTGTATTCGTTGTATTTATTTATGTATTATGGAATGTTATAGGAGTGTTTATTATTCGTAGCAGTAGCAGCAGTCGTATGGATAGGCTTACCTTGTAACCTAGTGGCAGTGCCTTACACCGATAAATCTCTTAACTCCAAGCCAGCCCGAGGCA